GTTCCAAATGTTTCTCATTCCAGCCTTGGGTGTGTGCGAGGGTGATCTCAGGGAATCTCAGGGTCCAGACTGGGCTGACCCCAGAGCTCCCTGGACCGCGACTAACGGCAGTCCCTCCTTCCAGGCCTGGCTGGCTGAAGCGGAAAGCCGGGTCCTAAGCAACCGGGGGGACAGCCTTAGCCGGCATGCCCGGCCTCCTGACCCCCCGGCCAGCGCCCCACCGGACAGCAGCAATGACGATGAACTAAAGGAAAATAAGGAGAGGTGAGTAGGGAGGCCGGCTGGGGCTGGCCGAGGGTCCGGGAAGATCCAGCTTCCTTTTGTTTTTGTTTGTTTGTATTAAAGAATTATTTATTGATTTGATTTGATTTATTATTATCTTTTAATTTGACCAGAGAAAGATGAGAGAGAGAGAGAGAAAGAGAAAATGAGAAAGCAAGCCACCAGCTCCAGGACTCGAACTGCATTTGACCATGTGAGAGTCCAGTGCCTTAACCACCACACCACTTGCCAGGCCACCCGCCCCCGTTTTTTTATTTTTTAACATTTTATTTGCTAAAAGTATGTGCACTGGCTGGAGAGAGACAGAGAGGCAGGGAGAGAGAAGGAAAGTGAGAAAGATGAGATGGCTATGCTGCCCTCTTCTCCGTTCCCCTCTTGGGACTTTGGGCATGCACGCACATGCACCCGGCGTGTTTCTCAAGCCACTAGGTCTGGGACTCGAACTGTGCAGTCGGCCCTGTGGGATCTAACCATCTCAACCGCCATGCCAGTGGCTGATCCCTGTGTTTTTTTCTTATGTGCACGTGCTCATCCGAGACAGAAAGGGAGAGGGAGGAAGCACCTCAGTGGGGCATGGCCATGCCACAGTCCCTTCTCCGTTCCTCCCTGCTTTTGGGATTTGGGCAGGCATGCATCCACACCTGACATGCTGCCAGGGCTGGGACTTGCACTGGGATCTGGCTCCTTTTTAAATGTTTTGAAGGTTTTGGACATAGGGCACGTGTGTTTGCTGGACAGGGACAGAGACAGTGAGGGGGAAATGCGAGATCACCCCCCAGGAAGGATGGCCATGCCACAATCCCTTCTCCATTCTCCTCCTGGGATTTTGGGCCTGGATGTACATGCACCCGGTGTGATTTTTCAAGCTGCCAGGTCCGGGACTTGAACCGCGGTCAGCCGTGTGGGAGTCCAGTGCCTTAACCACTGCACCACCTGCTGGGCCTGTGGGATCTGGCTCCCTTGCCCACCAGGTGGTGGAGCTAACCCAAGGGCCTGGCCTCATCTGCTTGATCTCCCCATCCAGCTCTGAAGGGCCTCCCTCCGAAGAGGGCCAGGACACCCCCATTTACACGGAGTTCGATGAGGATTTTGAGGAGGAGCCCGCCTCCCCCATCGGCCATTGCGTGGCCATCTACCACTTCGAAGGTGAGGACAGTCCGGTGGGCTCAGGGCTGGAGGGGGCCGTCCCTTTGGGGGCGTCTCCCGGGGTTCCGGTTGAAGCCACCTGGGTCCATCCCTTCGGCAGGCTCCAGCGAGGGCACCATCTCCATGGCGGAGGGGGAAGACCTCAGCGTCATGGAGGAAGACAAAGGGGACGGCTGGACTCGGGTCCGACGGAAACAGGGCGGGGAAGGCTACGTGCCCACCTCCTACCTCCGAGTCACGCTCAACTGAACCCTGCGAGGGGCCAGGG